TAGCTAGAGAGAGAAGAAGAGGTAGCATGGAGCCAGGAGAAACCATGGAGACCGCACCAATATGCCCACAGCAGTAAGCACAGGTGAAAGGGTTAAGCATCAGTGTACGAGGGGCCAAGGATCCGCTCCCTTCACCACCAGTACTGGGATCCATCAGGGAGCCCATTGCGATTGAATTATTATTTAAAGCACTTTCAATTTAAAAAAGTGTTGCAATGAGGGCAAAACTGCCCATTTTGACCTTTTTGGAGCAGAACATTTTGATTTTCGTTTTCAAAATGACTTTTCATTGCAATTTCCTTTTATTCTGAAAAATAGTATGAAATTTTTAAAGATGCAAAATTGGAATGCTTTGATTTTGTCAAAACAAAACATTCTGATAGACTCAAAGTGATTTTTTTTTCAGCATTTCAGCTCACAAGGAATTTAGATTTTTGTTATTTTTATTTTCGATCCAGAAGAGAAGACATTTTGAAATCACGAAACTCCCCTTGACGTACCCAGTTTCTCCACAGCCCTACCCAGCACCCAACCTCAGAACTTCTGGCCTAAGAGCTTTGACATTGGCTTAAGTGGAAGCAGGATGAGACCGTTGAATGCATTTGAGGTTGGATCTGTTATTAGCATTTTACAAAAAGAAAAGGAGTACCTGTGGCACCTTAGAGACTAACCAATTTATTTGCGCATAAGCTTTTGTGAGCTACAGCTCACTTCATCGGATGCATACTGTGGAAAGTGTAGAAGATCTTTTTATACACACACAAAGCATGAAAAAATACCTCCCCCCACCCCACTCTCCTGCTGGTGGGGTGGGGGGAGGTATTTTTTCATGCTTTGTGTGTGTATAAAAAGATCTTCTACACTTTCCACAGTATGCATCCGATGAAGTGAGCTGTAGCTCACGAAAGCATATGCTCAAATAAATTGGTTAGTCTCTAAAGGTGCCACAAGTACTCCTTTTCTTTTTGCGAATACAGACTAACACGGCTGTTACTCTGAAACTGTAAGGAGAGTGATCATTTAAGATGAGCTATTACCAGCAGGAGAGTGGGGTGGGGGGGGAGAGAAAACCTTTTGTAGTGATAATCAAGGTGGGCCATTTCCAGCAGATAACAGGAACCTCTGAGGAGCAGTGGGGGGTGGGGAAAATAAACCAGGGGAAATAGTTTTACTTTGTGTAATGACACATCCATTCCCAGTCTCTATTCAAGCCTAAGTTAATTGTATCCAGTTTGCAAATTAATTCCAACTCAGCAGTCTCTCGTTGGAGTCTGTTTTTGAAGTCTTTTTGCTGTAATATTGCGACCTTTAGGTCTGAGATTGAGTGACCAGAGAGATTGAAGTGTTCTCCAACTGGTTTATGAATGTTATAATTCTTGACATCTGATTTGTGTCTATTTATTCTTTTACGTAGAGACTGTCCAGTTTGACCAATGTACATGGCAGAGGGGCATTGCTGGCACATGATGGCATATATCACATTGGTAGATGTGCAGGTGAACGAGCCTCTGATAGTGTGGTTGATGTGATTAGGCCCTATGATGGTGTCCCCTGAATAGATAATGTGGACACTGTTGGCAATGGGCTTTGTTGCAAGGATAGGTTCCTGGGTTAAAGGGTTAAAGACACTCTGATGCAGAACAGGGCATAAAAAGGAAAGACTGGGAGCAGACTCATAGTGGGTATAAACTGTCACAGCTCCAATGAAGTCTCTGAGGCCACAACAATTTATACCTGCTGTGGAGCTGGCTGTGGGATTCCAGACTGGTGAGATGGGGAGCAGGAAATGTGAAACCGTTTCTTTGGTTTGACTGAAGTACCAAAACCCCTCTTTCCATACAAGATCATTCAGCTTTCCTCATGGTGCCAGATTTCAGCCACCAAAAAGAGAGAGAATCCAGAGTTCTGGATGAAAGCTCACATTTAACTCACTCATGATGGGTGGTTGTGTTTCTTTCTATTGCTTTATTGAACAACAGGGTGGGTTAAGGATAAAGTTTCAGTTTGGTCTCCAATTTCCTCCCTGCTTCTGTGGGTTTAAAAAGAGAAGCAGTCATTGCTTAACTGTGCGGCTTTACAGCCTGAAAGCTACACACCCTAAGAGTGCTGAGATTTCTGAGCATTTCTGGGGATAACGGGCCAGATCCTCAGCTGAGGTAAATTGTCATAGCTCTATTGACTGCACTGGAGATACCCCAATTTACACCAGCTGATAATGTGGCCCTGAAGCAGGAGGGCACACTGCAGATGTTTTCTTAACCAATGCCACTGCCATTCAGCCAGTGCTGTTGTGTGTAGGGTGACCAGACAGCAAATGTGAAAAATCAGGACCGGGGGTGGGGGGTAATACGAGTCTATATAAGAAAAAGACCCAAAAAATCAGGACTGTCCCTATAAAATTGGGACATCTGGTCACGCTAGTTGTGTGTGAAGCCTGCCACACAATGATCATTGTCTCAGGAGCAGGAATTAGGAGGCATGTGCAAGATTGGCCTGCCCCAGTTTCCCAGGGCTAAAATCCATTGCCACATCTCCTTCAGCCTGATGTGTGGACCTGCTTAACTGAGGTTGCTCAGCAGCTAAATCAGCTCATGTGACAGGCAGTTCCAGTTCAGACCAGCTACAACTTTGCAGCAAAAACAAGAAAGAGCCTCATTTTAGCCTGGAGCTGCAGCTTTCCTCCTCCCACTCAGCTACCCGTTCCCTACCCAGGGCAAAATGGCAAATCCTCTTCCAAACTAGCTTCACATGCCCCCCCCCCTCCCCCCGGGCCCCATTCCTATCCACCCAGAGAGGAGAAACACCCATGAAATGCTGCAGTGTGATGACAACAGGGAAACAGAGCAGGACAGTTCATTACAGATTCAAATACAGCTGTCAGCCCCTCAGCTGTCCCCCAGCCCCACTCAGAGATCTAAGGGCAGTGAATACCATCTCCTTCCCTCACACCCTGCTTTTGCAACTGCAGCTCTCCCTACCCTCAGATTAGGGTTTCCTCACTGTACCCTGGGCTGGGGGCTCCAGAACCAATCAATGCTGCCCCCATGTCAGCCAGGGAGGTAGCGTAGGAGTAACACAGAGCGAGCACTCCCCTCCCTCCCTGCTCCCAGATCTTCAGCCACAGCACCCCCCAGCTGTAACCCTGATCCCACTCACACCCGTTTTACACTGCTCTAATGCCACTGTCTTCAAGGGAGTCACTTCAGAGCAAGCAAGAGCAGGATGAGGGCCACAATCTCTGCCAGCCCCAGGGATGGAATGGGGTGGGGAGGCAAGTGAACTGAATTCCTAAACACCGATATCCTTGGTGTTGTGAAGAGCAGCTTCACTAAACCCTTCAGTGACCTCACAGAAAAGGCTACACATGCCCAAGGGCCAGAGACTGGAGTGAATAAGAACCCAGAGACTTTGCAATAAGCACCTCCCATCTGTGGATCTTGAACCAGGAGAGGGATCGTTATCCCCATTTTGCAGATGTAGACACTGAGAAATGGAGCGGTGCAGAGACTTGCCCAAATTCAGACTGGGAGACCCAGACCTCTTAGCTCCCCATGCCCCTGCTTTGCCAGCTGTAGGGAGGGAAGTGAAATGTGATTGGTGCTGTACCACAAATGTACATCAAACTGCTTGGTCACGTCAATTCTACCCTAGGGAACTTAGTAGCTAGTGCACCATCTACACACCTGATTCAGAACACAGTAGCTAAGGCCGAGATGCCTTCTGCTGTGGGGTCATTTGGGCTGGAACTGTAATAAATACATTGGCTTCTCCAGTACAATAAATTCCTATCTTGAAAAAGTCAGCCAGCCAGCACCACCAGCATCCAGTCCAAAGTGAAGGCAATGGAAGCACCAGCGAGGTTAACAAGCACTAGACATGCCCCACAGGGAAGCTGTTAGCGTCTTTGCCTGGTGACACCTTCAGCCTGCAGGGACCTGTGCTCTCTCCATGTCCTCTGCTCTCTCCATGATTTTTGCCTAAGGAGAATGCCAGAGCCCAGCCTACAAAGCTCAGGAGAGTCCCTGTTTGCAGGAGAAGCTGTGGAAAGTGGCATCTGCTTTATTTGTTCGGTCACTGCTGTTTGTTTTCCCTCACTATACTTCTGACTGGTGCTGCTCAGGGCATGCTGAAGTGCCATTGCACACAGCTCCTCTGCTGGGACACAGACGCTCTGGAATCTCAAGTCCCCACAAAGCCACCCCTCTCATAGCAGACTGGGTCACACAAGGGAGCTAGGGGTGGCATAAAACCCTCCCTCTAAACCAGGGGTTCTCAATCTTTTGTACTGGTGACCCCTTTCACATAGCAAGCCACTGAATGCAACCCCCCTTATAAATTAAAAACACATTTTTATATATTTAACACTATTATAAATGCTGGAGATGAAGCGGGGTTTGGGGTGGAGGCTGACAGCTCAGGACCCCCCATTTAATAACCTCTCAACCCCCTCAGGGGTCCCGACACTCAGTTTGAGAACCCCTCCTCTAAACATCCCGGCAGTACAATTGGCCCATCTCCCCTCACTGTTCAATAAGTGCCCGCCCCTCTAGTAAATGGAGGAAATGTATGATGCTATAGGCTGAGGGTCCCCAACCCTTGGAAGGTACCCCCCATAACAGACTAAAATTATATCCAAAATAAGCATTTTAATTGCATCTTTCCTAAATAGGGGTTTGAACATTTGGGAGAGGGAAACATTTGTGGCAACTTCTACCGCCTTCCCAAAGGCCTTGGGATGAGGGGCACAGATCCTGTTGTGCCCAATTGCTTTGTGTACTGATCTCCCTCTCCCCCTTTGAAATAGTGTGTCCGGGTGAAGGGAGCCCCCAAACATAAAGTGTCCTGGGGCAATCACCCCGCACTGTATGAGACCTGGCTGCTAGCGGCCCTAGGCACTGTGCCCGGCTGCTTGCTCCCTGGCTGCCGCAGCACCCCGGGCCATGCTACTCTATTGCGGCTGCCTGCTGCTTTCCCTGCCCCCCGGGAAGCGACCCTCTTACCTCAGGCTTGGGCCGGCTCTGCAGCAGGTGCTCCAGGTACAGGTCGGAGAGCGCCGTCCGCATGCTGTTCACACTGTGGCCCCGGCTCGACTTGAGGGTCATGCCGAGCTCTCTGTTGCCACCCGAGCCGCCTCCTTTGCGCAGCGGCCGCTCCCACGCCGACTCCAGCCACCTGAGCCGGTTCCCCTGGCTCCAGCAGAGCGGGCCGGCTCCCCGCTGCAGCAACGGCTCCAAGGCCGACTCCAGTCCGTGCGCAAGCTCCTGGGTACAGCCCCTGCCCTCCCCGGCCGCCTAGCGCCGGGACATTAATTCATTCGAGCCGACTGGTGCCTGTAAAGCTGCTGCGGGGGGCGGGCTCTGGGGCTGGCCGGGCGGCTGCGCTCCCTGCCTGCGGGTTCGGGGTGCTGCAGCCAGCCGGGCAGCGTGCTGAGCCGAGTTGGCGGGGAAAGGAAGCGCCGGGCTGCAGGGAGCTGGCGAGCTGTCACTGTCACTCCCCCTCCCCGCCCTACAGGAGGAGTGTCCAGGCGGGGGAGGCCGCGGCCCCTGCTCCTGCTGCGGGCGGAGAGACAGACCCCAGGAACCCGGAGAGAGGCGGCTGGTAGGGGATGCCGCTCTTCCCGCGCAATGCCTCCCCTCCCTGCGCTCCTGCTCCGTGCCCCAGAGGGGAAGGAAAACAAACAAACGGGCAGGGAGAGGCAAATGGGGACGCACAGCTTCCCCCCACCCCCTAACAGCCATGCACCCCCTCCAATCCCAAACCCTTCTGCCCCGTCTCCCCCACCCCAAACAGCCATACACCCCCTCCAATCCCCATCCCCTGCACCCCCAAACAATCATGCACCCCCTCCAATCCCCATTCCTCCAGCCCCATCTCCCTCATCCCCTGCACAGCCATGCACCCCCCAAGTCCCATCCACAAACCCACTGCTACTGCCCTCTATTCCCAGACATCCCTGCCCCTCTCCCATCCACATCCCCCCTCTAGTCTCACAAAATGCACCCTGAAATCCTTCCACCCTGCAGACATTCATTCATATCCCCAATCCCCCAGCTATTGCACCCGTAAATCCAACCACTGCCACCTGAATATTGCTCCTCCAAAACCCATGTGCCCCCAAGTCAGCCCGGTGCCCCCCACAAAAACCATCACCACAGCTCAGATAATATCTACTCCTCCAACATCCAGTTCCCCCAAAATATCAATCCATCCATATCTCCAAATTCCCCCCAAATCCAGTCATCTACCTCCACTCCCCACCCCCCCGAGGGGAAGGAAGACACAAAACAGTCCCCAGCCCTGTGTGCCAGAGAAAGAAAGAAAGAAAATGATGGGGGGATGGGAGAAAGAGAGAGAGCTGGGGTAAGTGGGTGCTCCAGTGGGAGCAGGGAGACGGATGTACTGTGCAAGAGGGGATTAGATGGGAGCTGGGGGGCGGGGGGGGAGGAGGAAGCAAGACAACAATAAGTTACTTAGGCTGTGAGCTCCTTGGGGAAGGAACTGCCTCTGTGTTCGTACAACCCCTTAACGCAGTGTGGTCCTGGGCTCGTGGTCCTGGGCTCACCGCTACTACCTGGCCCTAGTCCCTCTGGCACTAAGCCCCAGGCTGTGTTCTGCTCTTTGGTGAATGACACTTGGATCTCTCTCGCTCCTTTGATGCAGAACCTGTGTGTTGAGCCTGCAGTCTCCCACTACATGTCTCATCAAATGGGAGGAGATCACGAGGTGAGATCAATCTAATAACCTGCCCAGAAATGTGAGGTCCCACTCCCTTGGGATATGCTTGGCTCACCCCCTACCGTGCTAAAACCTTTCCACAAGCAGCAGATATTTGGGTGCTCGCACTGACACATGAAGCACATGGCCTGGGCAGCAGGAGTCCAGCTCACCCCTTGTGGGAGTGTCTAAACCCCTTGTCTGCAGCCACTTTTTGACTGCACTCCCAGCCCAGCCCCATCACTACTTTGGGTCGAATGAAATGTTTCATTTAATTTTTGAGGGTGTTTTAACCTTTTTTTTTTTTTTAAACTGAAGTAAAATTCAAAATTCCATTTGTTTTGAATGGAAAAAATCAAAGCTTTTTATTCTGAAAATGTCAAAATGAGCCCTTCAATCTTTCTGGATTTTTTTTCACCAAAACAGTTGGGAAATTAGCCATGAATTTGTGAAATGTTTCCATAGATCCGAACCTGCATTTTCTGATTGGAAAAAAGTTTAGTTTGAAAATTTTTGCCCAGCACTAAATGAAAAAGCTACAGCCTCTGAAATGAGAGTCACAACGGTCTTACCATTTCAACCCTCAGGCTAAGAGACCCGAACAAAACAAGCCCACTGCTCTGTACCCTTCAGGCACGTGATATGGACATGCGTGATGTATGGCCATAGATAGGAATCAACTGTAAAACTGGAACGCAAAGTCTGAGGGTGTTGAGATTTGCCCGCCCATCCACAGACAGGCCCAGCCATGAGGTCTGGATGCTAAGCCCAGCTTTCCTGAAGTCTGGAGGTATTCAGATCTGGTGTTTTGGTTCACGCTCATCTCTAGATGCAAAGTCAGCAAGTCTGTGCTTGCACCATCTCCCTGCAAGCTGATAGGGCTTTCATGCCTCTTTGGTCACATGTGTCACCTTGCTCAATGCTGAGAGGCATTTGGTCCGGGAGAGTGGGAGTTGAATGGAGAGTAAGAAGACCTAGCTTCTATTCTCAGCCCTCCACTGACCTTGTGCAAGTCATTTCCCCCTGTTCCCGCTCCCACCCGTTGTCTGTTTTGTCTGCTTAGATAGTAGGAGACAGCTGATACCCTGAAGAGCTTACAGTGCCTAGTACAAGGAGACCTTGATTTTGGCTGGGACCTCTAGCTGCTAAAAGTCCCCCATGTCACAGTGCAGCCTGCTTGGGAGGGACAAGCAGCAAGACTCAAAACTGCAGCCAGGAAGGTTTAATCCCATTTAAATGGCATCTTTTAAAAATAAATATTTTAAACAAGAATTAATCAAAGCTTTTGTATACAGTTTTGTAGGGCTCACAATCAGTGCCTTTGAGCAATGTGTGGCAAGAAACCCTCCCCTTTATGTAGCAGAGCCATGTCCCGACTGACAGAAGACAAATCTGTCAGTGTGCTTGCCCACAGATGAAGGCATGGACACGAGCAGGGTTTGAAGATCTATGTACTGGTAATGGCACCAGAGGAAGATGAGCTGACAAACCATTTTGCTCATTTAATGTGATCCCTATTAATAACAGACTATCAGAAAGTAGAAACTGAAGATCTATGGATTTATCTATACAGAGACCCTCAGAAAAATTAATCTGAATTAACTCAAGGTGTGAATTTAAAGTGGATTAGTTAAATCACATTAAACCCCTGTGTGGATGCTCTTATTCAGAATTAAAATGACCTTAATTCAGTTTAGTTTAATTCCCCTCAAGTGAATTAATTAACCTCAAGTGAATTAAGCTAAACTGAATTAAAGTCATTTTAATTCTGAATAAAAGCATCCACAGAGGGGCTTAATGCAATTTAACTAATCCACTTTAAACTTTTCTCAGGCCTGGTCTACACTTACAGTTGATGTCACCACAGGTCTCCACTCCTCTGACCGACAGAGCTAGGCCAACCTCAGTCCCAGTGTACATGCAGCTTCATTTGACATAGCTGCCCTTGTGTGGGGAGGTGGTGGTCTGACTCGGACTGAAAAAACCCTTCTCTTGGTGTAGACTGTGTCTACACTGTGAAATTATACTGGCATAGGTACAGTGATGTAGCTATGCCAGTATAGTGTTCCTAGTGTAGACATACTTTCAGATTAGCTTTTCTAAGAGTTATTTGGAAATATGAAATTCAATGTGGGTGTTGGGAAAATGTTTTTCATTAAGATAAAACCACCACTGTGAAAAGGAAATAAGTAACAGCACAGGCTAATCTTCTATCTGTGGAACACAAACACCTAGAACTTCCTGGGGAGGCTTCCTTCAGTGGGGCCATGTGCACCTCGGCCCAACTGGCAGCTCGTCGCTGGACTGAGAGGACATAGACACGTCTGGAAGTTCCTCTGACTCTTCAGTCCAAAAGAACCCTGAGAAACCAAAGGAGAGAGGAGAAGAATGTAAGTCACCGAAGAAAGGAAACGGGGAGAAGAGGAGGAGGAGGAGGCAGGAAGGGGAAGGTAAATAAGGGTAATGAAGGGTAATGAAAATAAGACTCAACTTGCTGTAACTACAACTTTCTCCTGCTTGATGGAATAAGGCTTCTGGCCGTGGCATTTAAAAGCCAGAAAGTAGTGTGAGTTGTGGGGGGGTGGGGACGAAGAAGAGAAGGCCTGTTCTAGGTGACTAGAACCATAAATCTCTCAGAGGATGGGCCAGGTCCGCAGCGGGGGCCACCGGTCACACCTCCTGAATGGAATAAAGCAAGACTGCTTAAGGGACCAAGTGTAGGGCTTCTCCACAACAAGGCATCCAATGCCCTAGCTCTGCAAATGCTGTTTTTCAAAGAAAGGAAATTAATTGTTCTCCCTGCCCCAATCAAACCATCTCACTGGAAACATACTCCATAGAGAGTGGGGGGGATGCATCAGCCATTGCTGTTCTGTGTAGGTTCTTATTTCACACTCCTCCCTGTAGTAGCTGAATACCTTGAGTAGCACATTCAGCAGGGTGACTAACACCTGGCACTTGGTGTTGATTCTCTCAGCCTCTTCCCAGGGGGCGAAGTGTGTGCAGTGGAGTGTCTTGTTAGGGTGGGGTGGTTTGGGGGGGTGATGTATTTATGTTAGAGAGGCAGGTCAAAGAAGTTCACCTTCCACTTGGAGCAGAAGGTAGGTGAGGAGTGTGACGGTGCCCCCCATAAGGCTTTATGGAAATATGCTTATGAATGTATATATGACATAACTAGAATATGTTTTATGCTACATAGCCCATGTAACGCATCTCTGTAAAGGTTATGATCTACTGAATCTATTAATCCTATTTGTATGCATGTATCATTTTTGTATTCAAAGTCATGAATATTGGGTGTGTACTGGCTTGATTTATAAGTAGCCTTTGGAAAGCATTTGGTCAGCTTCTTGAGAAAGGAATGTGCAAATTAAGTGCCCAATCAAGGAGCACTTAAGGGACAATGGATCTTGGAATGCTCCAATCCACATAAGAAGTCTACTTGAGGATGTTCAAGGTAGCATGTGACCCATGGCTGCTACCTGTAAGTTCTGAGTCATGCATGGACATGTGACTGGCCCATGTGACTCCAAAACTCCATTTTGTAGCTGGATTCTACACATGGAGGGGGAGGGGTGTCCACCCACAAGAGAGAGCCTATTTAAACCCCTGGGAAACCCCTCCATTTTGTCTTCAGCTTGCTCAAGAGATAGCCTCTCCACTCCCAAGGATACCTGAAAGAAACTGGAACGAAGGATAGTAACTACAGGGGGTGTGAGTGATTGCTGGACCCAGAC